TAACGGGTCTGTTTCGTGCTCTGGGATTCCTGGAATTGCTGCCTTCAGCTAATCTGTAGCAGAGGCAAGTGTTCATGTGCAATGAATAGGACAAGGAGCAGCCCTGTATCTTCATGGAGTTTCTCACTTTCAGCAGGGAGGGAAGGCTGTGGGTCCTGCTGCCTTTCCTCTGTGTGCATGAAATAATAAAATATATTCACTGTTTGGGTAATGCTGGGATTTTAACTTTCATTGCTAAGGTGTAGGACTGATGTATGTTGCACTACATAGGCTGCTGATGGTGAGTTAAGCTGTAACTGTGAATCACAGATGCCCTAGGACAGACACCTTACAACTGACCTTCCTATCTTTTGCCTGCTGAAGTAACTGGGCTGAGATTAGCACCCCATTTACCAGCATTTTGCTGTTTAATTTTTTAGGGCTCCAGCTCCACTGGCTCTGGGAGCCTGTAAGTGGAGGTTTCCAACCCATCTCACGCTTTGTTGTTTTCACAAGCAGCAGTGGAGTACCTCAGATTGGGGTAGGCATGACTTTAACATGCTTTTTTTTTACACTGACACAGAGTAAAAGTGCTAAGCTAGAAGGAGTCACTCCAAAGTAAGCAGGAGCAGAATGAAGCCTTGCAATCACATCACTTCCTTCCACCCCCAGAAATACTCACTGACCTCCTCTTTTCCCCTCCCTTCAAGCAGTAGCAATAAGAAATTCAGGAAAACAGCAGCAGCAGGAGCTGCAGCAGCAGCTGCTCCTCCAAGCAAGTCCCAGTGAGGCCAGGAGGACATTCTTTCCTGTGTTGTGGTTTGCTGACTCTCCTCTTTGTCTCGTGTGTAATGGGAACAGAGCTTGTGGAGTGGGGAGCACGCTCACAACAAATGGCTCCTGTGGGTTTTTTCACTTTGCTTGGGCTTAATTCTGATCCCAGTTGTGCCGGTATGAACTTGGGGAAATTCTGCTATTTCTCTGGACCTGTTCCAGGCTCACCCCAGCAGAAACAGGCCCTGAGATACTTTCCGCGGCTCTCCGGCTACCCACAGCAGCTGTTTATTGCTTTGCATTTTCCTTCACCATGAGAATTATGTAACCTCTGAGGGCTGGAACCTCATCATCCAGCTTGTCTCTGAAAGGCACACTCACTGCTTGTAAGCTGTGGGTCACCATCCATAGAAGTCTTTGGCTTGTGGGGCCTGGTACTTTGCAGAGAACAAGGGGCTCACTGGGCATCTTCAGTGGGGAGTGTGCAAGGAGGAAGCCTGGTGCTCAGCTGAGTGACAGTGGCTGTGTTGAATGATGCAAGGAGTTGAACCAGGTAGCTGATCACTGAAAGCAGGAAATCTCAAAGGTGTGAGCCAACAAGATAGGTCTGGCTGTAATGTAGCCTTTCTTTGCTGACAGCTTGGTAGATCCACTGGTACAAACCTCCACATCAGGATACATAGGGTTCCCTGGCTGCATCACTTCCCTATGGCTTCTCTGGTGAGGGAGGATGACCGTGTGTTGTGTGCCCAGTGCTTTTTCTGCACAGCACTGACTTTTTCCATGCTTCCTTTATTCTTTTATCTTTATTCAGAAGTCTTCCCAGTTCCTCTGAAATCTTACAGGAATGTATCATTTGATGGCCAAACAGGCCAAGCAAGGAATCTGTTTATGGTTATTTACTGATGACACTTTGGGACAACACATCTACTCTGAGGCCCCTGTTAGCATGGGTACACTGATTAACATGAGTTTTTTATTAGTTACTGAAAGGTTCTAAGGGAAACAACCAAAACAACAAAACTGCTGTAAAAGCCATGCTGTGTGGATGACCAACAGTAACCTGTAGTGCAGAAAGTCACTGAAAGACCCTGTGCTTCGTAACTGTGGAGTTAAAAACAAGTATGGCTTTCAAGCATTGGTTATATTCAGATAGGAGCTCAGAGTATGCTTGGAGCCTCCCACTTGTCATGGGAAACCAAGGCAAGAAACCTCCTAGCCTGATGCAGCCAAGAAGGGCAGCAGGTTAGTTTATGCTGCCAGCAAAAGCGATTCTGAAGTGTGAAAGATAAGATCCCAAAAGCAATGAAATGCATCAGTATCTTCAATAACATTGGGCAGCTCCGGTTTGTCAGTCTTTGACAGCATCTGGCAACATAGTATATAGTTTAGCAAACATTTTATTGTTGTAATTCTTTGTTTAATCTGCCATTAAAACTGGTGGTGGTGGTGGTGTATGGTCATGCCTCAGGGCAACAGATGAAACTATCAGGACAAACCCCAGCAGCCTCTGAAACATATATATATATATATATATATATATATATATATATATACAGCAAATAAAAATACTTTACAAGTGGGGATATATAGAGGTGAGCTTCAGTGGCAGGGTGGGGAAATCAGGTTTTTCTATAACCTAGGCTACCCCTACTGGTGTTCATGAGAGGCTTGACATGATGGGCATTGGTGGCATTTGGGTATCATTTGCAGTGGGACATGACATACATGGGCTTGGAGGAATCTGGTGTGGAACTGATTAAGTGCTGACTACTTCACTGGTACTCTTTATATGGGATTTTGAAACAGGAATGTTTTCTTGCTAGTGTTTCTGTCTGGTTTTGACAGTTCCCAGTTGATAGATTGGAATACTTCGGCACTTCCCAGCTGGTAAGCACCATGTGGGTTCATATTAAGAATATTAGTCTTAAGATTGAGAGTGAAATGACCAATTTCACTGTGGAGTAGAATCTATCCTAGAGGACAAGGAGACCCACTGCCATGCTAAAGTACCTCTGCTCAGCAGGGTTGTAACCTGATGATGTGGAGCCAGACACTCTGAGAGCACTGTACACTCCTCAGACCCCCCTAGCTTTTCAGAAGTGGGCATCTACAGATTGATTGCAGCCAATTACTAGTCTCACTGGCTGTACCCTTTCCATGAAGGGGTGTTTCATTATAGTCAGAGTGTATGGAAGAGCACAGTATTAAGGTTATCTGTATATTTTTACTTTAAAAGTCTTAATGTTTTTCCACCATGAGTGGTTTATGATTTTCTGGAATTTCCAGTATTGAGGCTTTTTTACCAAACTGCTCTTTGCCTGAGGGGTAGATTAAGAAAAAAAAAAGGGGAGGGGGAGGTAGGAGAGGTAATTCTGACAGTCCTAAGAAGGTACTGGAAATGATGGTTTGTGGCTGTTACAAAGAAAACTCGTTGCTACTTTCTTTTTTGGATTGCATCAGTGCCTCTGGAGCCAGCAGTAGAAATTTGATACCTCCTCCAAAATAGGTCAGCCTTTTCCAAGTAAAGTACTGCAGCTAATCTGTGAAGTGACTCCATTAGAAATTGCAGGAGTTGGATTTAAGTGGGGTGGAAAAGTCAGAATGAAACTGGATGTCAACTCCAGGGGGGAAAGACTTAAAAAAAAATAATCTGGGAGCTGTAAATGCATCTTGCAGAGATTCAAGAAAATCTCTTTTGAGTTCATCATGTTTAGAGAGTTAGCTGGGACGCTGAGAAAAATCCTGGGGAATTACGGGCATTGAACTGCCTCAAATCCCTTTTGGAAAAGCTGTCTTTAAAGTACAGACCTCACATCAGCATGGATTGTTTTTTAATGATGAGAAAAGTGCTAGCAGTGCCAGAAACTTTCATTGGTGCTGGGTATGACTATGTAAACATGTCACTGCATAGCACATAGAGATTGGAGACCGCAGAGGGTCCAGACCCTTGGTTTGAGCAGTTCCTTGTGCTTTGTTGCCCTCTCTCTTTAATTCTGTGATAACCAGTTCAGTCTGTGAATGAATCACCAGTTCTCCAGAACAGTAGCACATGTGGGTTCCTGTATGCTAACCTGTGCCTGACATACAGGGGCAGGAGCAACTGGCATAGAGTCACTTGGAAAGTCCGTAGTAGAACTGAGAATTGTAATACAGGTCGTTTTCTCGCTTTTTAATATATATTTACACAGAAAAATGTCTAACAAGTTAGAGGAAACCTACTGTTATGCAGTAGTTAAATTTCAGAAACTTTTTAGTTCTCTGCCTAAGTCCCTGTCATCCTTCTGTATGTGCTGTTGTTTTATTGATCCTTATGCCTAGGACACCTGATATGTGAGTTTGCCTAGCAAGGAAAGCAAATAAGTCATTCTTTCATAAACACCACAGTGCTATAGAGGGCTTTTAAAACCATTGACTTCTCATACTTTGTAGCCTAGTTAATGGCCTAAAAGTGTGTGGCATATATCTACACAGTAGAACCGCCTGTCATTTACTACAGAGTTGCTGCATGCAAGGGTCTGTTTGAGGTCTGAGTGTGGGGGTCCCTGGGAATGTAAGACTAAGCAGAAAAAAAACAGGGAGTGCCAGTAATTCCGTTTTATTTATTGGGAATGGCAGCATGAATGTAAGTTTGTGCATGTAACCAAGTTGCCAAAGTTTTCACAAGAAATCTGTAAAGCAGCCAGGGATTGACTGGCCAGAATGTTAGTCCAGCGAATTAGCTATGAGTACTGCCTTTCCCTTCTGAATTACTTCAGAAGCTTTCTCTTGTGAAACAAACAGTAATTCATGGAAGCGTTCTCCCACACGTTTTGGGAGAATAGAAGATCAGTCAAGACTTCCTGTGTGGCTGCAAGGGGAGAGCTGTGCTCTAGGAAAGCAAATAATCTGCTTGCAGCTCACAGTCAAATAAAATTAATTAAACTAGAAGACAATATTTATATGGTATGTTATAAAAGGAACAAAAGCAGATGGAAGAGTTACTGAATTTGTTTTCAAATTGTATGGTAAGCCATTTCATACCTACTTCTCTTTAAGTCAGTAGGTTTTGCCATGGTGGTTTCTGTTACAGGTTCCAACACAACTTCTGTGGAAACCTCAACAGAGCTAGCTGCCTCATCTCAATAGACATCTATGTAATTTGTGTCCTGAACCACCTTTGGAGTAGCACAGGCTTAAGAATGAGAGTGGAACAAGGAATTTCAATGTAAAATAGATTAATGTAATCAATTATGTTTTGTACACAGGTCTGGAAGTGTTAGAAATCATTGGACTGAGATATATTCTTTTGTGGAAAGCCTAGCTGAGAAGTTCATAAGGTAAAGTTTTCTTAAGTTGATATTTTAATCTGCTATATACTTGATTTGTTCTTTCATTCACTGCTTCTTAGCAAATGGAAATCTGAAGTGGTGTGTGTTTGATGTGGATCTGGCTTGTTCTTCTGTTTCAGTCCAATGCTGCGGATGTCTTTCATCGTTTTTTCTTCACGAGGCACTACAGTCATGAAACTAACAGAAAACAGGCAAGTATTCCCTACAGCTTTCATCCAGAAATATCCTCCGTCCCTCCTCTCAAGCAGCAAGTGGCCCCCAAACCAGAATCCAGAGGTCTGTCTTGGTCTCACTGTGGCACCAACTCAGGCAGCAACTGAAATCCGTTCCACCCTTCCCAGCTGGAAGAGGGCTTAGAAGGACTTTGGGTCTCCCATTACCGTTTTTTTTTCAGCCTTGTAAGAGTAAGGCAGCACTGGGCTGTATGTTCTTTATTGCAGTATTTTAAGGAGAAACTACATTTCCAGTCAAGGAATCATGTACATTCTCGCTATCCCTAGGTAACCAAATACGGCAGCTTTTGCATCAGCTATCTCATACCCTGAGCTGATGAGCAAAAGGACTGTATGGAAGTCCCACAGTGCTTTTCAGAGTGACCCAAAGTCCCGAACTTCATGTCAACAGCTAGTTGTACTCAGCCCCCCCCAAAAAAAAAACCAAACCAAACCAATCCCCCCCCCCAAAAAAAAACCAAGCAAAACCAAAACCCAAACAAACCAAAACCTCAAAAGCAAAAAACCACCAACCAAGCAGACAAAACCAACCCAAATAATTTTGGGTTTAATTTGCCTCATGTACCCAAATCCCAGTTATGGAGGTGTTTCTAAGAACTTTCTTTCAGCTTAAAGCCCTTGCTTTTGCTGCTGCTTCTGTCTGTATGAGAAGGTGCCAGCAATACAGTGCACCCTATAAAAAAGACGGCTTTGAAGCAGTCTTGAAACAGGACCTCTCCTCCGTTTTGTACTCCAGGTTCTCACCCAAAACCAGAAACCCCACAGGGGTCTTGTGTTTCTGCTGGCTCCACTGAATTTTGGCTTAGGTCTCCACCTTGGTGGCAGAGCCCAAACTTGCTTACTTCTCCCAGGTGGATTTATTCTTTTCAAGGTGGACAGTAGACAGGAGCCCTGTGGCAATATGTTGAACATGATATTAGAATGTTCCCTCTCCTAAACTCCTGTTCTCTGTATGGATCACCATGTGTGCCTTTTCAGCTCATTCTATAGTTTGAAAGGGTAAAAATGTGCTTTTTGCTGTAAGGACAAATCCTGAATTTCCAGCTTCTAATTTTACCTTCATCCCACATAGACTCCTGTTTCCTCTGTAGTTGGGGTTGTACCACCTAAAATACCCAGTTGTAAAGTGGGGCTCTGACTATCCTTTAAAAAATAATGTGCCATTTCATCTGGGGATGATGCTGGACTGCCTACATCTCGTCTGTTGAATATTTGTGCCTTACTTGCTTTATTTGTGTGCCATTAATAAAACGAAAACTTTGCTGAGGATCAGGGTCATTTAGTGATCAGTGGTTGATTAAATTATTCATTTCACTGAGCGATCCTGTTCGTTAACAGGTATTTGTGGAGTAAGAAGCTGTGCAAGAAGGTGTCATAGTATCAGATTCCCCCTCTTATTAGGCAGCCAGCTGGCCCAAGAAGGTTGATCAGTTCCTGGTCTAGGATAGGAAATACACATCATTCCCATCCTGTTCTCTTATCTTTTGGCCTCTGTCTTTATAATGGAAAAGTCCTAATTCCAGCTGTCCTGATGATTGATTGAATATAGGGGTTATGTTTGTCCCATTTTCATGACAGGGTCATAAGCTTTTAAATTCTCATTCCATCCGCAGTTTGTCAGAGTCTAATATCTGGTATTTGCTTTAATTCAATCTTATCCTGACTGACAGTGTACCAGAATGAGGGATGGAATTGCACCCTTAAAATATATTAACCCTAACACTGTATCATATATCCAGTTTTGTGCTCCTATGGGTGTTTGGCTGAAAAATTGTGGGGGTTGAAAAAATAAAATAAAATTGATTTTAACAGTGTTTTGTTTGGTTTTGTTTTCTATCCAAAGGGAAGCCATAAGACGAGGGCTCAACATTCTTCAGTCTGAAGTGCCTGGAGGAGACACATTCATGCATGAAGGATTTAAAAGGGTACATATCACAGTACCTTCTTCCTTTGATTTATACATAGAAACTTTGCTTTGCTTGCTTCTGGTGTACTTAAGAGCTAACAAAGTTCTGCACTTTGTTGCAGGCAAATGAGCAGATTTACCACGAAACCTATGGAGGTATGTGTTATATATTGCTCCTGTTAAGTATCTTCATTGAAGAGACAGTGATGATAGTTCATATATGACCTGCAGTCAACCCGCTGAAAAGTGTTAGAGAAGGATTTGGTGTTACACAATCGCTACATTCCATTTTGACTACAGCTCTACTTTTAAATGAATCATTCATGATTTATTAAGACCAGAAGAGACCAGGATGATCACAGATCTGCCCCAGTGCAGAATACAGACCAAAACATTAAAGCCAGAACTGCTTGTCCTGTTTCCAGGGGACAGGAGTACCCAGATTTTCCTGCACCCTTTTGTCCTGATACACTCAGCACTGCCTGCCTTGTGCACCCAAGTCCTTGTTCTCATTAGTGTAGGGGTGAATACAAACAGCTGAGATTTTTGCATCAGTGTGACTGATTCAGGATCAGATTCTGAGTTTCTAAAATGTAAATTTTGCCAAAATTTGAAGAGGGAAATGTATTTGTGGCTTTTATCTTTGCCAAAAGAAGGCCTAATTAGTTAAACTGAACCCTTCTTGCCTGGTTTGTACTGTGGTATGAGGTGGTTCTCATTTGTGGGCTGGTGGTCTCTGGAAAATGGAGAAATGGGTCAGTGCCTTTTCATAAAATAGACTGTGAGTGTAGATTCTTCATCAGCACCTCTGCATAGCTTCTCAGGCACCTCTGTCAGCAGAGTCCTGAAGAATGCAACTGAAAGCTCTTTTACCTCATCATAGTATATAGCTAAGAACTAACCAACTATTCTGTAAGGAAAAAGTAGATGACATCTGGATTTATAAATCTGAAGTTTATAAATCTGGATTATAAACTTCAGGGAAGAAACATGTTCAAAAGAAAACAAAATAAGCTTTCAGTGTTTTTTCCAGCCCTTTTCAAGCATACTGAGCAGGAAAAAAGAAAAAAAAAAAAAAAAAAGAGGAATACAGGATTCCAAGCTATCCCCCCCCCCCCTAAGTTGCAGGTCATTTTTTTAAAGATTTGTCTGTGTCTGACATGACATGGGAAGGACTGCATGGCATAAGAAACCTGTCAGAACCGATCAGTGTTTAATTTCAGACTGTATGGGGGAAGACACTTGAAGTTGTAACAGATTATTTTGAAAAATAAGAAATACTTCTCTGAAAGTAACGCGTGTGTGTGTATTAGTTACTTTGCTTAAGAACCATGGATGCAGAATGGTAGATTGAGCCGTAGTTTGCACATTAATGAAGTTTAATTTTGTTGACATCTTACATTTTTTTAGGTAGTACTGTATTCTGTACTGCATTATGCATATAGCTATCAAACGTCTATGCAGCCTTTTCACTTAAGCTTAGGTGGGATATAAAATCTTTCCACAAGGTGTGAATTTTCTGTCATGAACCTGATCTCAAGGTTTTCACATGCTCAGAAGTCATATGATTTTTAGTGACAGCTCTTCAAGAAGTGTAGGACTGAACACCTTACAGAAGCACATTTTGTGCCATATTCAGTTGGGTTGCTCTTTGAAAGTCTGCTGGAGGAGAAGGTAGGATGGCAGCAAAGCTCCTTTTGCATAGGTATTATCTCTTACCATCATCTCTGGACAAGGTTTGTGTAGAGTCAAGTTTGCAAAGAGAAAAGGGGAAACCTGTTCTTCTGTGCAAATCCGTTTTGCCACTTTTCCACACGAAAGGTCTAGATGTAATCTTGGTAGATGCATTTATTTGTCAAAAAAAAGGAATGCCTCACTTCAAACTTTCATTTCATTGTTGAATCTTTGTGTCATACATACAATGGTAATCTGATAACTATCTTTCATGTAGGAGTTCGGACTGCTAGTGTGATTATTGCTCTCACGGATGGAGAATTGCAAGATGTTCAGTTTTATTATGCTGAACAAGAAGTAAGTCACCTTCACATTCACCCAAACTGCTTATGTTAGACCTGTAGGCATTAGCTGCTGGCTCCACTTACTACATGGCTTTGCGCTTGATGGCAATTTCTTTTTTTTTAGGCCAACCGAGCCAGAAGCTTTGGCGCTATAGTTTATTGTGTTGGAGTGAAAGATTTCAATGAAACGCAGGTAACTTTGCTTGCTCAATGAAACGCAGGTAACTTTGCTTGCTTTCCTCTAGTTTTGATTTTCTGTGACATTAGTGCACAAGTAACAGCATCAGAGGAAGGCATTTATTTAATTACTTGAGGCATAAATCATTTCATGTCAGTATGATGTCTTTTAGCAAGTATGAAAGGGCTCAGTTTTGTTCACTGTAATTTTGTTTTCCTCATGATTTATGATTGTCTTTCTTTGCAGCTGTCAACAATTGCTGACAGCATCAATCATGTTTTTCCAGTTACGGGAGGCTTTTATGCCCTAAGAGGCACCATTGATTCAGTAAGTTGGGTATTCTGAAACCCAGAAAAGGACACCCTTTCCTGTGTTAATGAAGAATAGATAAAAATGATTACAAAAAATGCTGTTATCTACATTTTTAGATTCTCAAGAAATCTTGCATTGAGATCCTAGCAGCTGAACCATCGAGTGTTTGTGCAGGAGGTAAGTTTTCACAAGAGCACTGCAATAAGGCAAATGGTCGACACTGATGAAATGTCAGTAACTGTCTAATGTGGTATCAGAGCTGAAGCCTGTGGATGTGTTAGAGCATCCCCTCAGGCCATGGCTAAAGAAAGCCTTACGTGTTCCTTCTCAGCCTGAGAAAAAAATTGTGCCAATAAACATCTATCTGCTGTGCCTGAAAACCTGCTTGGAGAGTTGATTGAGGTAGCACTTTGGTAACTGGGGATGCCACTTTTAAAACATCCAAGAGCAAGAGACAACAAAAACAATGTAAAGCCAGACTGTCAGAAGTGGTTTAGAGTCTAAAGGCAGCATCCCAAAAATTTCTGGAAAGGCTGCATTCCTGGGTCTGCTAGGGCTTGTTGGCAGTTAGAACAAGATTTTGCAAAATGTGCACAGAAATTTCAGTTTTATTGAACCAGATATAATGAACTGCATAGGCTAGGGTACCTGGTGTGTTTTCCAAACTGCTGATGGTTAGTGTGTGTGATAAACATGGAGAATCCCCATAGGAGCTGCTGATAATTTCATGCTTTTCATGTGTAGTATATTTAACTTGGATTTGTTCTGTTTGCGTTAGCAATTAACTTGCTGTGTGTTTGTCTACTGAAGAGGCTATTACAGCAGAGTAAGAGTGACACCGTAAGTTTGCTGGAAGGTACAGTTTACAGCGTTGGTTATTTAGATTTGATGTTACTGTCTTGTGTTCATTCCCTTCTATGCTGAAAAATGAACACATTAAAACAGCAATGATGCATGAAAGCTGACCTTGAAAACAAACAAAAATAGGAAAATCAGGAAAAATCTAGTAAATATTACAGAGAAGAGAAATGTTTCATTCTTCATTTCCACACATCAATCACAGTATGATCTTGCTATGAGTATTTTGATTTAAAATGAAATATCCATGTATCTTCTGAACTATTCCTAAGTATGTAATTGTGGACTAGATGTTTGTGTTAAAAATCCTGTCAGTAGAAAAAGTATGAAAAAGATTGATTTTATTTTCAAAAATCAGTTTGTGGAGATGATCAGAAACAATTTTAAAGCTTTGACTTTTCAAAGTGTTTTGGTTTTGTTTGTTTTTTTTTTTTAATTTCATAGTGGTAAATTCTTCCTTTATTTGCTTTCAGTTTATTGTATACCAGAGAGGGGTTTTTGTGCAACAGCTTATTGCAAGCTTTCCCATTCAACAAAAATTGCATTTAGCAATGTGAGTGTTCCAAAAGAAGAGATTTCAGTAGTAGTCCTGTAATTGATCAGAAAATGTTAAGAATGTTGGAAAGATGAATTTGAAACCATCTTTTCGAATGGAAATTTGACAATATTTTTCAGAAGCATTTGAGGAAATAAATTTTAAAGAAAATGTTTATAGAATCATAGAATCATAGAATAGTTAGGGTTGGAAAGGACCTTAAGATCATCTAGTTCCAACCCCCCTGCCATGGGCTTCTCAAAACTGGATGTATTTCAGCATAAAGAGTAAAGTTTCTTTTATTCAAAAGGAATGATGAGTTCAGTTTTTTGCCAAGCTTTCTAGGTAACCAGCTTATCACAAGCATGATTAAAAATACACAAGTACACTTCAAAATAGTTTGCCCTTTCTACAAAAATAAAATATTGCTGCACTACTTGCATCTGTAAATGTTTTGTTTGTTTGGCTTTTAAGTAAGATCAATATAAACTGGGGAAAACCAGTTTCCATGTATTGCTCGTGATTCAGCAAAATACCAGCACTTGTTTCACTTAAATTTTGAGGTTTGTCCTGTTGACAAAGCCATCCAGTAAAGGCTGGCACACAGTGAAGTGTGGTGCTGAATCACCAGGGTATGACGCTGTGGATCTTGCATGCTCGAAGGTTTGCCTATAGTAGTAGGAGGCTTGAAAATAGGAGGAAGCCCCGAAAGTGCAGCTCCAAATGGTACATACTGTCGTGTTAAATGGTGTTTAGCACAAAGAATCAGGCCTGTAGTGGCTTTTGAGTCAAGTCTTGAAAGCTGAAATTAATTCCTGGAAAAGGTTTTACAGCACGAGGCTGCAAATATTTACGCTAGTGCTTGATTTTATTATCCTTTATTATCCCACTAACTTCAACATAGCCAGAGGTTCATCTTTATAGCTGTGTGCACCACTCTCTGCTGGAAGGAATCTCCTGGGATTGAACAGCTTTTTTTCATGGTAGTGTGAATCCAGATCCTGAATCCAGTTCACTGGACAGTCAGATATACTTCTACTCCATGTAATGTGATTTTTTTTTAAATTTTATTTTTTTTTAAATGTACTTTAGTTGGGCTTCAACGCAAAAAATACTGAAGCCTATGAATTAATCTCAGAATTGTAATGCATTTTTTAAGTTTAGGTAGTTACTAATATTGTTTACTGATAAATATATAGGTAAGATATATAGCTACTGAATGACAAATATAAATAATATACATAAGAATAATAAAAATATATAAATATATATGCACCTGCTGTTAGAACTAGCTGAAAAGAAGAACATAAGATGTTTTAGAACATAAGATCTTCCAGAAATGCAAGATTTCTCCCCCTTTTTCTAAGTTGGTTTTTTTTTTTTAGTATGTAATTGAAATTTGCATTCCAAAATTTTGGTCAAAAAACAGTGGACCTTCTGAAGAAGTACACTATATTATCGCATTCTCCAGCAAAGAAAGTTTACATCCTTGAAATGTGGCTCTGTCTGTGCTTTTTGTATAAGACTTATCTGAGTGAGGTGGTGGTAATCAGTTTGGCTTTTTTTAGCATTGTTACCAATTTTTTTAATCTGGTATGAGATCTTGAGGGCTTTCTGTTGTTCAATGGAAGCCAGTCACAATAGATCTGACCCACTCCTTGTAACTGGTCTTGCAACTCATAATTACTACTGTGTTGGTGATTACTGGTGATCTCCACTTCATTTTTGACTTGCCAGAGGTTTAGCAAAACGCTGATGAAATGATTTCCATGTGGCAACAATTCCAGTTGGGACTCTGGCTCTCTGTGACAAAGCTATCTGGCAAGTCTACTTACAAGCTGATCTCACTGCGTTGACAGCTATCTGATGCTTAATGCTTTTTGACCCTTCAAATTCATTGTCCCCAGTGTGGAGCAATGTAGTTGGGTCTTTCCTCTGCTCTTTGATTTAAAGTGACCGACATGCAGCCTGTAAACAGGCTATCAGTGCAGAATTGGAGGTGCCTCATATCCTGTTTGACAGCATCATTGCTTTGATTATGCTTACGGTACACAGACGGGATTGAAAGGATTTGTTGGATGTGGCATCCTGCTGGCCACATCAACTACCAGGTGTGGATGCAAGCCGTCAGCTACTCATCAGAGTCACAGAAGCGAAGCCGACAGCGCAGCCAGCACACACCAGCTTCAACCTACCATCTCGCTGCCAGCGCTGCCCGGTTATTTCAGTGCTGACCTTTTTCCCTTCACTGTCTTGTCAAAAGCTGCAATCTGCGATCTGACAGTAACTAAGGAAGAAAAGGACGCAGCCAGAGCCAGGACGCAAAATTAAATGGAATTAGCCATTTCAACAGACCATCATCCAGAACATGTTAATACTCTGGAGCATCCAAAGAGGCAGACAACCAAATCCAGTACCAGCTGTTTACATTTCCATGCAAGTCTGGTATTGAAACTATATTGTCAGCTTGTGTTGGTGGACAAGTTGCTGTTCACAACTCACTGTGCAGAGTGGCAGTGACTGTGAAAAGAAGGGCAGGAAAGGTAAATTGTCTTGACAAGACTAAACTTCTAGATGTAACTTTTACCTTTTGATGTTTTGAGTTGAAAGTCTCTTACTTGCTGCATCTTTTTAAAGGCACTGAAATAGCTATCAATCGAACCTTTGTCGCTGCTACATTTTAAGGCAATTAGATGGGGGTGTGTAGAATCTATGTTCAATTTTCTTTCAGCAAGCTGCTTTTATAATATAAAATTGAGGGGGGGAGGAACAGCTGAATCTACACTACAGTCCTTTTTTTTATTTTTTTATTTTTTTTAAAGTGCCCTACAGCCCCAGTGGGAACCAGGAGGTATAATCCCTCCCTTAAAGAAGAGGCCGTTCTGATGTTGACTCAGTGAGGTCTCATATTTGATTATCTTTCTTCAGCAAAGTGCCAAAGCCTATGTTCCACTTTACTATGCGCGCCAGTAAACATTTTATTTCCCCCTTCCAAAATATCTTCTCTGATTCCCATGTTTCCTGCAGCCTATGTCAGTTCAGAGCGCACTCTAAGGGAAAGTTACCCTGAAGAAAACCAGAGTGTGGGTTTTGAGTGCTTGATCATGAGTATGGAGGAGACTGTGGCACAGCGTTGGGCTGTGCACAGTTAAGAAGGAAGAGCAGCAAACAGTTGTGTTGTGCTGTTGTTAGAGCTCCAAGCAGAATTGTTTCCTTTATAGTTACTAAGAAATAATTTCAAAAGCTTGCTGTGGAGAAGCTGAGGAAACAAACTCAGGTTTCTTAATACCTTCTCCCTCAAATTCGTTTCCCTAACTGCTGGGTACAATGACTCCAGGTGCTTTCATGATGGATGTAAACTTACCTAGTGCTATCACTACTTGTCTCCATCCCTTCCCTTCTGCTGCACACTTCCCAGTAGATGCTCAGCCAGTCAGATCACCTTACTGATCTCTCTGGCAACAAACAGAGGGTTAATTTTCAGGTGTGTGAGCAAGCTCAGTGCACTGCAACATGATCAGTGGTGCCAACAGTGGAGGGCATGTGCAGTTGCAATCTTATTTCTGACAGCAGAATTATTTCCTAGACTGGCTTTACTCAAATGTGAAACTGCTTTATCAGTAAAAAGACTATTGAAAGGTTTGCTGGGAAAAAAACGATAATGCTTGGATGAACAAATCACAGGTGCTTATTGTGATAATGAAAAAAAATCACAGGAGCCCCCCCTATCAGGGCTGAAGGAACAGAAATTTTGAGAGTAGTTGAAGAGCAGGTTGCTTGCAGCACTTGCTCTGGCCAGCAGAGAGTGTGTCTGATTGTGGCAGGTCTCTTGTGCTGCTGCGGCAGGGGTGTGGAGGATGAGCACAAAGAAGATGGCAGTGCCTGAGTCCTTAGTTGCTTCCATGCACAGCAGATGCTAGTGGGGCTGTGCACAGGCACAGCTCTTGTACGGGCAGAAGGACTGTGTTTTTCCAGGGCTTGTACCAGATGCAAAGCTTCCTCTCTGATTCACAGAGGGGTTAGAAGTGGAATCCTGTTTGTCAGCATGCTCCAGAACAGAGCTGCTGCTGAAAGCCAAGTGCCATCTGCTTTGGGGACAGGAGGAAGGACTGGTGCTTATGGTTAGCAAAGGTGTCTGTCCCAAAAGCCGTGGAGGAACCATGAGATGACATCAGCCAAGTCAGACTTACAGTATTAACTGTGGCACCCTTAATTAAGGCACTGGGGTCTGTGCTATGCTTATGGGAGCAAACCTGAGATAAAGAGGAGACTGTGCAGCACTCTTGCCACTGTAGCACTCTTGGGCTTTGCTGCTGAATAGAGAGAGTAACAGCATGAATGTTTGGTTTCAGGCATAGGGCAGAGAACAGCCATTGCCATGTTGTACTTCAGATCACTCTGGATAGAAATGCTGTATTTGAATTTTTTTCATAACTCTCTGGTATTTTTCTTACAGAGTCCTTTCAAGTTGTGGTAAGAGGCAACGGCTTTTATCATGCGAGAAATATCGACCAGGTACTCTGCAGCTTCAAGCTCAATGACAGCCTTACTATCAGTAAGTTTGCAGGCTGGTGGATCCTAGTGCCCCCTGTGGCTGTGTCACCTCATGGGACACAGGCCAGCTGTCATCCATGTTGAGGGGAGTCCTTGCAGTGGCTGTGGGAGGAGATGGGTAGGAATCTGTACCTAATAGAAGCTTGAAATTCATTCTTATTCAATCCTGTGACCTATGGGCATTGTGCTGTGGCTGCTTATGTGGGGCATGCTGCTGCACAATGAACTTCAGCATCATTGTAATGATGCAAGTGGGTAACATACAGCCAGTGAGGACTGGATATAAGGTTTTAAAAGGGAGAAATAAAATTGCTCCCTATTACCTTGTTCATCACCACTAAAAAGAAATAATGCTAACTTGATCTGCCAGTGGTGTTTTCAGAGTCTTCATTCAGCAGTTCAGGAGGCATTCACCATAAAGCAGGGTCCTCCCAGGCCTGCTCTGTTCCTCTCTGATGCCATTTGCTGGTCTCATCACAGTGAGCATTTAACACAGAAACTCCCTGTCATCGCTGTATGAAACAGTCTTTTGCTTGCTATCTCAGCAGCCAGGCAAAGGTCTGAACGTCCAAAAAAGATCGAATGTCCCGTTTCTCGGCAGTCTTCTCTTATTCCTGGGAAGCCGTGTATGTCTGGCAGGGTAAAGCATGGTGTGGGGAGGTGAGCTTTCCTCCTTTTCTATATGTGCTACCCTTGTTGGCTGAGCACAGTAGAAGCTTTCATATCCTGTCGTGGTCAGACTGGTGCCTCCCTTAGCATTCACTTACAAGAGGAAGCACATGAATGGCTCCTTCATTTCCCATCCTGGTTGCCTATGTGGAGGCTGCATTAAATAAACTCTGGTGGTCTCTCTGTCATTCCACTTACAGATGCCCTTTGCCAGAGATTCATTTCTTGTGGTTTATCAGGTAGACACTTTTGCTTTTTCTTCCTTGGCCGTCATCCACCAGCACCTTGACTGGACTTCACACAGTGAGTGCTGACCTGGGCCTAGAAGCACACAGGAGGAAAACTACCCTCATTTTGCATCTCCTCCGTGCTGTATTTTCCTTGCATTAGATCTGCAGCAGATGCTGTGATGAGACACTGATGTATATTGGCTGGCTTTTTGCCCTCGGGCTGGCCCTGAAGTGTATCACTATGATTTCCATGGTCTCATCTCTGCCAAAGCAGGGAAATGAGTTTTGTCTTTGGGTGGCCTTGTATTGAAGCATGAAGGAACAACTCTATGTTGTTGTTTATTATTATTTTCCTAGGTAGAAACAGTAATCAAGCCTCTAAATTATAAATAAGCTAGCAGCTTTTACCAGCCCCTTATTCACTTGGGTTGGAGTCTTGTTACTAATCTTTCTCTGGACTAGCACTGTAGCTGCTTTGCTGGCTTTTCGCAACGAAGCTACAGTCACAGCAGTGACTTCTCTGCTCTTGTGCCATAGCTTACACATTTTTAGTGGAGTGGCGTTGCAGAACTGCTGCTGGGCCTCCTCTGTGTTCATGGAACTTCCTGGATGTGAGTTTTGAAAGCAACTGGATTAGTATTGATGACTCTTGGAGCAGCAGGGTTCAAGGAGGTGCAAAAACACCCATGGACTTGCTTTTGACTCTCTGCACCAAATCCCTATAAACATGGGCTATCTGTGGATGATGCTGCCTCAGAGGGGAGTTTGGGAACTGGAGAAGCAGCAGCTAGTGCAGGATAGGTCCTCATGGTAACTTCAGTCATGGCCCCTTTCTTCCTGTCTCCTGTGTATGCCCAATCATAGAGTTTGGGGTTTTTTTTACTGTCTATTCACATCAGCTTCACCTAACCCCATCCTTCCTTTTCCCGGAGTTCAAACAGTGCACACTTGGCTTCTCCTGTATGTGAGTTTTGAAGTGGGTGGGCAAAAATTGAACCCTGTACTTTTGATCCCTTGAGTAACTTGTGGGATCAGAGCATTCTGTATGAGTAGAGTTTGCATGCACTTTTCAGAAAGACAAAATGAAGATTGCTCAAAGCTGGCTTCCAAATGGCTGATCTCTGCCGCTGGGAATAGATATATACTTCCATACTTTTGATGTAGTATCTCCAGCCTAATAACATTATATTGGCATTAACAAGAATGGTCATTTCCATACTTTGCTCTGTAATTTGGTACCACTGGGGGTTGTTGGTACTTGCCGATACACTGAATTTGTCTGTGACTCTCATTTGGTATCAACACTTCTCCAAGGGGTGGCCTGCTTTGTAAAATTTCTTTTTTTCACCACTGACAGTTATATTCATTTCTTTTCAGATGAAAAGCCAACTCTTGTTCATGATACTTACTTACTTTGTCCTGCCCCAGTGATAGAAGATGCTGGACAGTAAGTATTGTTTCTAGCACATGTCAAGAGAGAGTGGACTTCTGGATGAGGGTGTCATTACTGAGGCAGGGGCTCAGAATTTTGCCCAAAGTGCCAAGCTAATAAATTCTGGTGTTTATGACAGGATTACATCCACTCCCTTTATGCAAAATCCTCTCCTAGGATGAGCAAGCATAGCTGTATTCAACACTGGGGGTCTTTAGAACAGCTTAACCAAAGGCCTTGTTGGACCAGGGACACATTATAGAACAGTGCTTTGTCCTCTGTTCCTATATCCTGTTTTTTCAGACCAAAAGGTAATTGAATTTGATTGAAAATTGGTGCTTGATTTGAATTCTCTTGATGCTGTTGTAGATGTTGTTGATTCCTGCATTTTGCCCTGCTCTGTCTAGTATTGGTATTTTCCAGCTGTTTTAATTGTGCAGACTCGTGGGAGACGTGGCACAAGGCTCTACCTTCCCCCTGAGTGATCTTGTGGGTGCTTAAATACCATACTGGGGGTGAGGGAGAATGCCTCCTTCCCTTTTCCTGTTCATGGGTGAGGGAAAGTTGTTTGTTGAGGGTTTTGGGGTGTTTTTATGGGCTTTTTTGTCTTGTTGTTTGGGGTTGGGTATTTTTTCATTTGTTTGGGGTTTTTTGGTGTTATTTTGTGTTTTCTTGTTTTGTTTTTTCTCAAACCATTTCTTTGATATGGGAGAATGGCTGGGGCCAGATTTCTCTTTAATTTCGCAGTCATTTCAGTGTTATTACCCTAGACCTCAGTGTGGGTATTCTGGATTTGTTTGGATATAAAATAAACATATTGTGGCTCTTAAAGCTGCAGAAAGAGTTTAAAACAAATAAAATAAAGTCTTAGTTTCTTGTGTTCTCTGGGGTACTACTGTAAATGTCTGAGACTTATGTTATGACTTGTTGTCCTACTGCCCTTTGCCCCAGGTGGGGTGGAGGTTTTTTAATAGAGAACATATGCTCCAACTCAGTTAAGGCAACATAAAAAGGATAGCTCCTGGGCAAGCAGAAACGCAAAAGCAGGTGAGCACTTGAAGCCATGAAAACGCCTTGACTCAGCAGGACATGCTGCCCATGCATGCTCGTGAACCAATGGTTAAACCACAGCCAGAATAAAGGTAACAATGGATATAAAGATGACAGTAAAAATAAATGTATCTGTTTTGTGCTTTAGGGTGGTTTTCTTACAAGTCAGCATGAACAACGGGCTAACGTTCATCTCCAGCTCTGTCAGCATCACCAGCACACAGTGTGTAAGTAATTGCAATGGGGCTTGACAGAGAAACCATGAGAACTTGCAGTGAGGCAGTGGTTCTTCAGGCAAAGCCTCCTTGAGTGAGCATGGGTTCTCTACAGCTACTGCATCACAGTTATTGACTGGATCCCAGCAGTTCTTTGGAAAATAACCAGGGCTAGTTAAGTTTAAATTGTTACTGTTGATGGATAGATCATGATAAGTTTACTGAATAAAATAGTACAACAAAAGGCACCCTCCCCATTCCTAGCCCAGGAAAGAGGGATCCTCAAAATTAGGTACTGAGTAGAAGGGAATCTGAGAAAATGAGGGAACGGGTGTTGCTTCCAGATGCTGAACTCTGGGCTCCATTATGGGATCTGGGGTCAAAGGTGCAACTGTCAGGACTTGGATCTGGAAGGGACCCAGCATTGAAGGTGCTCTGAATTTACGTGGTTATTTTTTGGTTGAAGCTTACAGCGTTTGTTTTTAGACCACCACAATTTGCCTTTGCTAGTTCACGATTTACTGAGGTGTTTTTACCATTTTAGTGGCAGAGGCTGGTTGCTATTCTCTTGGTGTTATGAGAGGTGACCAAAAAGAGATGGCAGCTTCAGATCTGGATGAGCTTCTTCATAAAAGGCCACTGCTCAGCCCAGCCAAGGGCAAATGCAGTGCTGCAGGACAGCAGTGGCTTTGATACGAGCATCTTCTGGTCAAAAAGACCAGGCAGAATGTTAGGGGCCAACTGCTGGAAGTGATCCTTTATTAAAAATATGATTTGAGAATCAAATAATCAAAATTAAGACATCAACTGTGAGATAAGCAGTAGGCCTCCTGGGTGAAAGTAGGCAACACCTGTAGCTGTGCAAGCAAGAACAGTAGCAGAAGATGTGGCCTTGTGGAGTGAGCCAAGCTGGCTGAAATACCTGATAGAAAGCACTCTGTATCAAAGTTGAGCTTTACTGTTACTAGTGTCAAAAGGTCTTTTATAGCCTAGGCCAAATGCTGTCATATTGGTTTGTAATCATTGTTGGCCTTTTTGACAGCTGCAGAACACAGGGGTAGAAATGTGCACAGAGGCAGCAACTGGAACTTGCAAATTTAATTTTCTGATGTTTTCAGCAATGAAGCAGGGAAATCTCACACCACGTTGCTGGGACAGGCTGGGGTGCAGGAACTCAGAGCGCAGCAGAGATACATTTGCTGCTTCACCTGATTTTTATTTTTCTGAAACTTTCCTCCAGATTTTCTGCCCCGAAGACTGATATTTTCACATTTTATTCCCTTTGTGAAACACAAGTATTAACTGGTTCATTTAGTCACCCATATGTAGCTTATTTCTGATGAGCACTGAAGTTTTAGCCATAGCTGGGGTTCCCACAAGCCAGAGCATGGATGGAGGAAGCGTTCCTTTCAGTAGCCTTAGGGTAAAGAGAGGAATCCAATCTCCAGTCCTGTCAATCTGACAGCTTTTGACCAGCATCTTGCAGATTGAATGTGAAGGAGGCAGAAAGCCTGATTCTCAGTTAGTACAAAAAGGCTGTCTCAGTCCAGTTACATCCCATAAACAGGGAGGTTGGCAGTTCAGTTTCCAACTTTGTCTTAATTTCATGCATTTAACTCTTCTTGTTTTAGAGACTCCCTCAGTTTCCTTTCCTCTCCCGTTTCCTTTTCTGTGGGTGGCAGTCAGCTGGCCTGCTCAGCTCTCCTCCCCTGCTGGCCCTTCTGTCCTTTCTGTACAGTAAGTATCTTCACTTTACTCCTAAAGCAGCTCTGTGATCCCCATGCTTATTTCTGTTCAGCTCCATGAAGTCTGCTATTTCTTTTTCCAAGTCCAACTTCACTATGATGCTTTGTATATTTAATCATTAAAAGAAGACACTTTAGCTCTTTGCTGCCAGTAGCTTCAGAGCTGCAGCAGGCAAATGTCTCAGCAATTTATATGAGCACTTATCATGGGAAAAGTGAACCTGGGAGGAAAGGCTACAGAACAGGTGATGTGTGTTTGGAGTAACAGTAGCAGTGGTATGTGCATCTGTTGCTCATGCACTGCATTGCTACTGTGCTTGGATTTGATTTTGAGTGCAGCAATACCTCTTGAAGTCATATTTGACTTTTACTCATCTTTCTCAGCAAACTGACTTTGCTGGGAATTCATGCCTTTCAAGTCTGCTTTTCAAGTGTATTTACTGCCACATGGGTCCATAGGAGGGCTAGAGAGGGGGGCTGCAGCACTGAACTGCAGCTGGGTAGTGTGTTATCTAACAGGTGAATTTCATGGACTTTATCCTCCATAAGTCTTCTTTGGAATTTGCTTTTTTTTACATTTATCTTCTCACCTACCATTCTTTGAAAATCTCTTACAGCTTCCTATTTAGCCAATTCTGATTCCCTCAGCCTGATTCACAGACCTTTTTTCAAGCTTTTTGCACATCCTCCTAATCCCAGGCTCTCCTCTAGTTTGCTGCCAAGTTCTGTTTTCTGCTACTTCTGTTGCTAGTGAACTGAACCTGTTCTCAAAGTCTACCATTGAAGAGGTTTCTTTTCCCAGTATAAAAGAAAAGGCTAGAGCATGAGAGCTAATCTTAACCTCATCCCAGAGCCCAGTGCAGTCTAAGGAAACAGCATGTCCCAGCATGCCACTGCAACAAATGTTAATTTCCAAAAAGCCATGTGCTCTCTGTGCTCTGCAGGGCCCAAGCAGCATATGAAGACCTGCTTCTCTGTGGTCATCAGAGTAATATACAGAGTTAATAACTCTTCTGAACACACTGACATGAAATGCTCTGAGTGCAAAGAATCCATTAAGATTTACTCAGGAAAATCAAAGCTGTGTTTCTCTTTGGTTGCCTGACTGCTCTGAAAAGCTAATTTCAAGTGTTAACATTTGAATTTATTTTAGATTCTAGTAATTTTAAAGAAAATTAACTTTGATTTTGAATGCAAACCCTTGGCTATTCAGCCATAAAGTCTCACTATTCTCTGCAGAGAAATAGGTAGACTATAAGAATCAGAAATACCTAAGATCATGATGACAGAATCTCATTAAAAATAGTTAAACCAGATCTAGGAAGTGTACCAACAACCAGCAGCATGAAGGACTAGTTTGCAGACATTCAAGGTCAGGCTGGATGTGGTTCTGAGCAACCTGATATAGTTGAAGATGCCCCTGCTCATTGCAGGGGTGTTGGACTAGATGACCTTTGAAGGTCCCTTCCAACCCAAACTGTTTGATGGTTCTATAATCACTCAGGTTGGGATTATGTGTGTGGATTGAGTCAAGATGCAATACAGGCAGGCTTGGGAGCTGATGAGGCTAGTAAATTGTGTTTGTGATGCTGACCCATGAAGTCTTAGCCCAAATATTCCTATTCCTTGAATATCAGCATTTACATATTGTACATCTCTGATGATGAAAGATGACTCTGCACACCTGAGAGTCTGTGGTGATGTAGTTTGAAATGCCTCTCTGAGAGTACTAAGGGACTTGTCAGCACAGATTCGGAAATGGTTTTCATACAAGTTAACACACTTTAATGCAGTGGGCTGGAAGTATACCATAAATTCATATATTCATGATACCTATACACACCACAAACAGGAGGTGCATCATGACTTCAAATACAAATTTGTCATACCAAATGTTGATGTGACCCTAATGATAATAGCAACTGAGCACACAATCTACCTGAGGCCTCACAGTAAGGGAAACTTGGTTCCTTTTGCCCAGTCTAAATGTGTAACTTAAGGACTCCTGCCTTTTTTGTGACATGCCCACATAACTTGGAAGTAATCATCTGTTTGCAGCTGACTGGGACCATCCTTTTCATTGTTCTCCTGGTTCTCTTTCTGCTGCTGGCTCTGGCTCTTCTGTGGTGGTTCTGGCCCCTTTGCTGCACAGTGGTAAGTACAGGATTTTATTCTTTTGACTTGGTTTCATCTCTTTTTGCAACCACAGAATTGAAGTTGTTGAAGTGGATGGTTAACTTTAAGTAAAATATTGCCAGGCTTGTACAGCACTGATTCAGCAGACTGTTAAATATGCTTGTTAAGTCACTCTGGTCTGGGTTTTTGAATGTTGTAAAATCTACATGATTTTGACACTGAATAAGTCTAAGTGAGCTTGTGGACATAGCCCAGGTTTTTGTAGGAGCTGCGGATTCTGCATGAATATCTTGCACTAGTTTGGTGGTTGTGTAATGCTTTTAAGGCAGAACTACCAGAATAATAAGCTGTATTATGAGTTATTTAATAGGGCACTTCTTGATTACTCAGATAGTTCAATGTGATGGATTTAACTTCCCATTTACATTTATTTTATGCCTGCTGATTGAGCTGGGCAACCCATCTTTGATATCAGCAGAAGAGCAGAGAAGACATAGCATTGAGATGATGAACCCTATCATTATCTCAGATTTCTTCCATTGTTTATATATTCTAGGTGATCAAGGAGCCGCCACCACCACCACCTCCAGAGCCTGTAAGTACGCTACTTTTAAGGTATTGCTCTGTCTGCAGCCACTGTATGTATTGTGCTGCCAGGAACGTCAGCCCTGTAGGTGTCTTAATGACATCTTGAAGGCTGTGAGAGGAAGTCCATTTGGTCAGGACAGCTATTTCTGTTTTCTGACCGCTTTATATACATACAGTAAGGGTATTTCCATCCACGGAGAAAATAGTTGCATAACTCAGAAGTCCATAGACTGAGAGTTCCCATGGTATTTTGTTCCTTCTGCTGCACATAAAAGAGGTGTGTGAGCAAATCTTTGCTTCTAAAGCTGTGCTGAAAGCTGTCCCTCCTCCAACAAAGCTGCCATTGCTCTGAGTGGGAGTTTGGCCCAGCTTTGCAGTGGGAAACAAAGTTTGGCAGCTGAAAGAAAGGACAGTGAAGGCCACATTCTTGTGGCTTTTTTACAGGAGAGGGAGACAAGAGCCTGCCCCAGCTGTGGTTTTGCTGCAGAGTGACCTTTTAAAGGACATTTAACCTTTCTCCATTTAGGCTGTGAGCTACTTGAGGTATGGTTGTAGTCGGCTCTTTTTGGGACAGTGACTGATGCTGACCCATCTGGCTCTGACCTCAGCTTGATTTCACTGTACTAATTTCATTAAAATAATAGTAATAAATAAAAGCACCTCCAGAGAAAACTCGTGCCTTCCTTTATTTCTTTCATAGGCATAGACAGTTAAATGATGGAAAAATACTGGCCTAACCCACAAGAGAAGCTTACAGTTTGCTGCTAACTTGCTGTAACTTGGCATGAATATGAGGAGGCAACCACAGCTGCTGTTTTGAGGTTGCAGAGGCCACCTCTGTGATCCTGTGTATGTGATCCTGTTGCTTGTCCTGGGCAGCAGCACTGTGACAACTTAACTTTAAAATACACACCAAAAGTCATGCTGATTCTAGAGTGATTAGTGTTGTTTTGAAGCATGCAATTGCAGCTAAGCTGTGTTTGAAGCAGGTTTTAGAGAGCACTGCACCCCTGCAGCAGAGTTCCCAGATGCTTTGAGGTTATTCTGATCTGCAGATATTTTAGATGTAATCAGAGACTGTGAGCTGATGTTAGGTGTCCAGGAATAACACAGAATACAGATGTTATCCATCCCTTTACTTGGGATTACTTGTCTTTATCCAGTATGGAGTGTGGGCTTGTTATACTTAGCACTAGTCTTCCTAGGTATAGTGAGTTGTCCTTTAGCTGATACATCTGGTATTGCTGCTGTTAAACTGAATATAGTTATCTAAAACTTGTTCTAAACCACAAGCATTAGATTGCCATTACTATTCAAAATATATGTGGTAGCTGTTTATGTTGCTTTGCTATGTGTTCAGTGTAGGGGATATTTGGTATAACAAAGGTTGTTAAGACATGAACACATGAAATCTCTGTTACATCGCATGTAAGAGCCAGTGTATTTGATATTATACTCAAGTTCACAATGAAATGAACTACCAGTGAATTAAAACTATTGATGTATTTCACTGGGTACTGGTTTAGTTGTCCACAAAGTGGGATAAAATTTGTTTGCTAAAGAAAACAGAACAAAACCAAACCAACAAAACCCAACACCAAATCCCAGTGCCTTCCTTGTATGTTTGTTTCCCTGACTTAGGATAAAACAAACAGCAACAACAAAAAAAAAAAGCCAGAACCCCCCCGACCCCCAGCACCAAAGACAACACCCCACTGATTCCTCCACCCCACCCTGCAAATGAAACCAAAACAACCCACTTACTGGTTAGTGAAAATGTCAACTCTAGTCTTGCCTGGCCATACTAAAGCATTTGTTGGAGGAACTAACTCATGTACCATAGCCGAGAGATCAGATGTCACCGAATAACTGATGGAAACAACCTTTCTCAGAGGCATAACCTAAGAGTTAAATATGAACAAACAAAAATAACAGCATGTTTAAAAAACCCCCAACTTGTTGGCTTTTGGACTCTCAATTCCTTTTGCATTCCAATAGAATCATGTGGGACAATTCTGAGAAAATGTCACCTAGTAATCTGACAATAACTTGTGTCATTCTCTAGTATTTGGATTTCACTTGATAAGTTATTTTTAATTTCTTTTAGTAAAAACTATGTCTAGACAGTTTCTGGAAACATGCTTGTACTGATGAAAATGAGCAAGAAGCACTGTGCATGGCCAGCCCAAGAGCAGTGTCCACATCTGCATGTCAGCATGAAGTGTAATTATTTGTGTTTATGTAGGGAAGGAATATGGCACCTTAGGAGGCTTGTTGAGCCCTTTCCTTGGTTATAGGTGTCATCGTGTGACTTTCAGCTGCCTCAACTCAGTGTAATGATAGGGAGTCTGAGAAATCCTAGTGACTTCTGTCAGCTGATGATGGGAGCAGAAGTGTTCCCAGGGTTGTTGAACCAGAAACATTTGCCAGCTTTTAGTTAAGGAAGAACAGAACAGTGAACCTGAAGTAAATGCCCGATTCAGACTCTCCCACGTTCCAGAAAAATAATCTGCAGTCTTTATAAGTGCAGGTCAAAACTCTGGATCTGAGCTTCCTGACAGTTTGGAGATGCTCCAGTCCCAGTCCTGGTTCCAAACTGTACAGCTTGGCCAGACTGTACAAAGCAGCACAGAATAACTAGTTACAGCTGCCATGAGAAAATGGTCTGATGCTGATGTTAGAAAACTCACAGTAGTAGCTTTTTTCCCTGTTAGATGACATTAAGTTCTAAAAGTGCAATTAACAAATGATTTATTTAGGCCAACTGATTGCTGCACCTTCTTCATAGCAATAGTGGTAAGCCAGTATAATGTACGATTCATTTTCACTTTGCCTTCCCTTAAAAATCAGTTGTGATTTTGAAGCTCAATGCATATTTGACTGCATAAAAGCTGCCTGGAGAGAGGAATAGGCAATCCACTTTGGCTTCCCTGGTTAAAATTGCAGCTGCAGGGACAAAAAACTTTTGTTTTTTGTCAGCAAATAAGTATAACACACAAAGCCAGATATCCAAGGGGTGGACCATAGGATGTTCAGTTGTTTACCATAGTTTACGCTGTTTGTGTGAGAACAGAAGTGATAGCTCCTGACTTTCCCATAGGAATCGGATGATGAAGATGGATTGCCAAAGAAAAAGTGGCCAACCGTGGACGCATCTTATTATGGAGGTCGAGGTGTTGGTGGGATTAAGAGGATGGAGGTATTTGGCTTGTTCTTTAGTGTTGTAAAAATCAGCACGTTTAGTTATAAATTGCAACAATCTGGTTTTATGTGTTTTGTTTGTTGTTTTTTTTAAAGCTACCTGGATGGGCTAGAAACTGGGATTTAATTAGGGCTTGTCCAGCTGACTGCACCTGCTGTCCTAGGAACAGACACCAAGCTGCCAGTATTTGCATGAATAATGAAATGAACCTAGCATTATGAGCTAGAGAAAATTTGCAGGCTAAGAAATGAGATAAGCACCAAAAGAAGTTTTAAATTAATGAATCAACCCTTCAGTGCAGTTGGGTTCAATTCTTTTGTTTCAGGCAGAGTTACGCACCAGTTTTGAGGATTTGAGGGTGTCATCTACGCTGTGCCTGACTGCCTGGGGGCAGTTAACTTGGGGAATTTAAGCTAGGGTGTTGCTTTTTTTTCTCTTCATCTCACCCATATTATTCTTTGGGGTTTGTTTTTGGGTGGGTTTTGTTGTTTTTTCTTTTTTTGGGGGGGGGGGGATGTTTTGGTTTGTTTGGGGTTTTTTTCTGTTTATTTGGGGGGGGTTTTGGTTTTGTTTTTTATTTCTTGTTTGTTTGGTTTTGGGGTTTTTGGTTGATTGGTTGGTTGGGTTTTTTTAGTTAAGTATTAACTCCTAATGCACAAAACCCCATGTGCTGAAATTGGCCAATGAATCAAATCCTGCCCTGGGATTCATGCACAAGCCAGTCTTAGTGTGTAAAGTGAGGTGTTACTCTGAAAGAAATTTGCCTTGTGCCCTGTCTTATGGCATGTATGTTTCAGGGAATCAATGAATAATGCTGTGATCAGCTACTAACTCCTGTAAATAACCATGTTAGTGAAATCAACTCAATATTCCTAACCATGAATAATATAAGGCAGGGAATTATCACTTACCTCTATCAGCTGGGCACCTGATAGTGACTTTTAGGGATGTCACACCAGAAACTTCCACTAGATTTAATTGGTAGTTAAGGGAGGTGGTCTAATGTAAGTCAGCCAAGGATTTGGGCCAAGCTAGGACTAACAGAACGAAAGCAATGGCTTAACAGCAAGTCTCTGCAAGTCTGCCGTTGAAGTATTGCATCTTAATATGCTTGACTATTTTCCTTGGTAGAATTTTATCATTGATGCTGTGTAACACTATATTGCCCTTGAATGCAGGGTAACATTTCTGTTTGAGGTAAGTCAGACAAAATCAGAATTTCAGCTTGAAATAAGTAGTGTGCAGCATGCAAAGTTAAGGTTAATGACCTGTTTTGTGACTGTGCAAGGTTATCTTTGGAAGAGCCATACAAGTTTGAGGGCTGATGCTCTTAAACCATTCATGTACTTGTTCAACAACTCTTTTTCACTATTTGAACTGAACAACAGGAGCTGCTTAATGCTGCCTGTAAAGACTGCCTGCCTTCAGCTGAGGCTGCTGTCTGCTTTTTGCATGAGGCAATGGGAAGCACTGTACACCTGTGTCCTAGCAGAGCTGGGCAGAGTGCTTCAGATTGCTCTTGGAAATGGGTTAACCTGCCCTGGATGCTGTGAATTCCCACAACAACTTAGGTTACTGGGTGGTGCAAAAGAGAGTAGTTCAAGCAGTTTTTGAGTGAGACTATTTGTCTTTTAAACGTGTATTTCCGATTACAATGCAAGCTTGGTGCCTTCATAAAATGGGCTACATATCTGGTGGCATTGGGTCATCTGATAGGAACTAATTGATGTCTGTGAAAGCCACCTGCTTGTGGGGACTGATGGAGAATATCAACTTACAGTGTGTTCTCCTGACTTCAGGTGCGATGGGGAGACAAGGGATCAACAGAGGAAGGAGCAAAATTGGAGAAGCCCAAAAATGCTATAATTAAATTGCCAGAACAGGAGTATGAGCCATGGGAACCCAAGCCAAAGAAGCCCCATGTGAGAAAACCACCTTCCCAGCGGAAATGGTACACTCCGATCAAGGTAGCATGTCTGCCCCTCAGTTTTACCAAGTCTCTTCTGTTGTGTATGTACATCCTGCTTCCTTAGTGCAGCCTTTCTTACAGTGAAGCTGGGGAGAGCCTATTTAGAAAAAAGGCCTGTAAGCCTCACCTTTCCTCATTTCTTGGAAAATGCATTTCACCTGGCGATGTGGTGCAATGGCTTTTTGAGGCAAACTGGAAGGCATGAGTAGACATCTTCCCTCCCTCAGCTCATGTCTTCTTTTCAGGCATTTTTGCACAGCCTTGATTGTAACAGCAGACATCCCAGCTCTGAAGAAGGCCATATGATGTTCAATGCTGTCTCAAGGCAGTATACAAGGAGGATCACATAAAGCGCACCATCCCGTATTTGACTGCACTGTGGCGAAGGCCTTTGGTTGGGATTCAGCTCCGTTTCCCTCTAGTTCAGCCACAAGTGTAGTTTCTGATTTTAGGCAAGTCACTCAGTCTTCCCACACTTTCATACCCATTTGTCCCATATCATTATAGTATCTGATATCTCCCTGTCTTTTAATGTATGTATCCTCACACAACCCTGGAGGCAGAGCAGAGCTATTCTCTCCACTTACAGAGAAGGAAGCTGGAGAGCTAGCACAGGCCAAGGGAGCAGCATACCATGCTCATCCCAGAAACCTGTGGCTATGTCCCAAACCAGTGCTTTGTGGGATGAGGTCTCCCCTCCCCACCATGCCCAGAAATGAGTTTAACAGTGCTTGAATTTATTGTCTGGAAGGTAGCTGTGATTTTATTTTTTCTTTTAAAGCCTGCCTGGGTAGGTAGTTTTGTGGCTGTTTATCCATGCTGCAGCTCACCTTCCATCAGCACAGTACTTCTGTGGTGCTGCCTTTTGTTAACGTAACACCTGTCTAATTGTGCATTTTACAGGAGTTGTTCACATTAAACTACAGTCATCCTCAGTGAGTATGACTCACCAAGGACTGAGGCAGGCTCATGCTGTTTTCCAAAATTTCTTGGTCACATGACTTTTATTTTTTTATATGTATATATTCCAGGGCAAACTTGATGCACTGTGGGCTTTGGTTCGACGAGGCTATGATCAAGTCTCTCTTATGAGACCGCAACCAGGGGACAAGGTAAGGTGTTGCAAACACACTGGCATGTCGCTTCTCTGTTAGCAGCAGCAATGCTCTTCCCTTCCAGCCAGCCTTCCAGGTTCAAAATGAGCTAAAATGTTTGCTGTTTCATCTATTTTAAAATATTGCCCCAAAAGGTCAACAGCAGTGTGTTCACTGTGAGGAGCTGAGCAGACTGAGGAAGAAGTTGGCCAGCCACAGCATGTATGAGACCTTTTTCAGCCTTGTTACTTCTTAGCCTTTTTTTTTTTCCTGGGCACACACGTTGAAGTCAAAGGAGGTAGGTTCTTTGAGACTGTTCATTTAGAATTTAATATGCAGTAGTCATTTTACAACAGTAATTATCCTTCCTACCCAGCTTCATTAAAATGCTTCTCAGATTTAATAATAGAGTTAAGTGAATAATAAAAGAAATCATGAACTCATGGAGAAACGTGCAGGTGATGTAGAAACAAATCATCAGAGTTAATGGAGAAAAAATTTTCTGTAAAATTCTGTGCAAAGACACATTTCGTGGTCATATCCTATATGCAGACAGAGAGTATCTCCTGCTTGATAAAGTCTATTAGCCAAACACTGGTCAGAAGTGGATTCTTCCTGGAAGGAAGCAGGAAGTATGTGCCTTTCAGAGACATGGAGATGTCTGTGTGCTCCCTGGGTCACTTGTGATGGCTTAGCTGAGAGCTCTCACGATTTCCCTGTGAGAGCCTGGCACCATTATGTTTCTATCTGTCTTGTTACTCTGAAGGGAAAACTCTCTTAAGAATTGAGTCCTGCTGCTTTGGGCTGTTGCACCTGAAGGTGTGATTTGGCTTTCTGCAGTGCCACCATGAAACGTGAGGACAAAACAGAAATGACAGCACCTTTCTCCCCACTGTGGCCCTCTCTGGCCAGAGTCCATATGTTTCATCACCTTTGCTCTCAAGGGGAAGTGGCTACAGAGTTACAGCAGGGGCCATTAAGTGCTGTTCTGGGGTAAGAGTAGTGCAAAGGTCCCTTGTGTTTGGTTGTTTTCCTGGGTGACCTTCACATCTAATAATGGACTTTAAAAGTATCCCGAATTTGCATCATCTAGGGCAAGTAAGTTGTACTGCTGTGGTTTATGGCAAAATACCATTATGGCACTTGTGTGGTTATTAACCAAACATAAAGCTTCAGTATTTCAAGTTTAGTCTCTTTCATTTTTCTTTTGGTGCGTAAGGAAACTAAGAGACCAAACTCGGCTTCCTGTGCGACTTTCTAAAATGGTTTTAACTGTTTCACTAAGCTGCTTTTCAAAGCAGCTGTGCTCAAAACACCTTATTTACTTTTTAAGCACGATGTGGAGCTTCTGAATAGGCTCTTTAGGCCCAGCTGTATTTTGATAGCACTAGCATTGTATAGTATGAATCTATCCTCTGCCTTTCACTCCCTTGGTTGGTACATTTCTATCAGTGTAGAGTACAACAGTGCCTCTGTTAGCCTGCACAGTCAAGAAACATGCAGGGGGCTGGCTCCAAACAGGGATCCTCAGTTCCTTGCCTTCCAGCTTTTCTATGGGGAGGAGAAGGGACTCAAAAGAGGCAATGTAAAACAGAATGAGCTGAAGAATTATTGTATCAGCGAGAACATTAGAAAAATCAAATGTACATCTGGGAAATAGGGTGGAAAGAATTCTATTGAGCCAGATTCAGTGGAAGAATAGGATCATCTCTGTTCCCTGGCCTGTGAAATTAACTAAAGCTGAAGAATATTGAACACGAAAAAAGAAAATGACAGGACATCCCTCTGCTGTTCTAAAAAGAGACATCACGGGCCTGTATTTCATGGGGAAAGTGAGCACAGGGAAGACCAAGGTTATTATTTATTGTTTGGTTTACTTTTCTAGTAAAAAAAGTCTCTCAGTGGAGAATTGGATTCTTGTAAGTTAGGCTTTTTTGGGGGGGAAGGGGTGTATAAATATACATTATGTACACATATAAGTATATATGAGTATACATACACACATGCACACACTGTGTCTGAAGAATAGGGAGATCAAGTCAGTTCTATGAGTGACCAGCAGTGTGGAGGGCCTGGAGCTATGGCTGTGCAGAGCTGGAGGAGCCTGGCGGTCCCAAGAGCAAGCCCACTGCTCTGTTTGATCCAGGCCAGGCAGCGACTAGGTCACTTTTCCACAGAGTGGTGACTGCAGTCTGGATTTTGGTTTACTGTTTGGTAGACATGAAAGTACAGCTTGACATGCCTCTGTGCATGGTGTTCTTTCAGACTGTGCCATCCACGGGCCAGTGATCTTGGAGAGAGGGATTGTGATTGCCTCCTTCCTCTGTTATTCTGACACCACAGGAACTGAGATGCTGGTAGCAAGGGGTTATGGACTCCCTGCAGAGCTGGCCGAGGCTGCTGAGAGTTTTCCTGCCCTGCCTCATGCTTCCACAGACTTACCAAGAAAATGATCTTGGGATGGACGACCCATCAGTATTAGGCAGGATTGTACTAATAGGGCTGGCTGTGAAAATCACAGGTGCTTTTTGGAACTGTGATTTAAAGAAAACCAGCCAAGCACAAGCTCTGATGCCCCTTCTCCTGGGAGCTATACCCATGGTGTTTGGTTTGGCTCTGCAAACAGCTCCTCCTCTTGGTCTCCAGTCAAGATCATGTCACTGCACCACTGCTGAAAGTGGTTATTAGTTTGACAAGTACCTCAGTAAAGAGTCACAGGATCCTACTCACCCAAATTCTGCAGGTCACCCCTAGCAGAAGCTTTTGTTGCACTAGGATGGGACAGCAAGGGATAAACACACTTAGCTCTACCCCATAATTAGCAGATAGGCTGCTATTTGTGGGTTGGCTTTTTGCTGAGCTGTCAGAAAACATCAGCAGAGGAGCAAAAAATTGCAAAAGGGCTAGCAGCTCTGTTTTGGAGTGATGGGCTTTCTTCCTTGCAGTAATACATGAAGGTGAAGACTTCACAGACATTTGGGCTACTGCTGCAGTGATGGATCCCTTAGAGCAAGACTGCTATTCTTCCCTTCCTCCCCCAGAAACTCAGGGCTTACAGGACCAGCAATCACTCTTTTGGCCCAAGAAAAGGATTGACAGCTCTGAGGTAGGGACACCGGTCATCCAGCAACAGGAAGAGTGTCAGAGTGGCCACATGGCCTAGTGAGCTGTGTGTTGCTCGGGATGCTCAGGCTGCCTCGAGGACTTCCCATCACTGTGTTGGTGTCCTCCTGAGCTTGATTCTGAGGTTGTGAGGGGCTGCCATGAGGATTGAAGTTTGTGAAATATTAATGGCTGGCTATCTTGAAGTATCTCTAACATACTGTGATACTGTGATCTCATAGAAACCACAGTAGCTGGTGGGACAGATTGTCAGTAGCCTCTGCAAAAAGGAACTTTCAAGCTTTTCCCCTTGGCTTCATGGATCAAAAGCAGTGATGTTATGAACACCAGCAAGTAAACATTAAAAGCCCCAATATGTGCAGAGAGGAAGGTGAGATGCTTCTTTCAAATGATCTACTTAGTTGCTGTTTTCAGCAAATCCATTCCATTCTGCATTTCAGCACATACAGTCACAGGAAGTTCTGAGGCTTGGTTTACCGAAAACCTCATTGAAAAAGAAATGACATTTTTCCCCGCAGGCAGAATTGCTCTTGTTTACTTTAAGTCTTTAGAAAGTGACTTCATATTTGTCACTGAAAATTACCTGCAACAAAGAACATAGCCTGGATTTTACTGTCACCATCACCTTTCTGTACTCATGGGACTTGACTTATTAAAAAAACAATGCTTTAGCAGTACTACGCTGTGGTTTGCACATGCAGAACCCTTTCCTTGGGAAGGATACTAGGAGCAGGCTGTTGCACAGAAATCTGAAAGCCTTTTTGCCTTCTTTCTTCCATAAAACTGAAGGTAAAAAGGCTGTTGTGCAGTCAGAAAGTTCACAAACTATGAGCTGCTGGTCATTTTGGAAGCTGTGACTTCTGGGTCCGTTCCAAGTTCTCACTATTGAGTTACTGTGGGACTTTGAACAAGGCACAGCAGCTAGAATTATTATAAGCATTCGCCTCTGAAATGAGAACAGGAATGCCTCGTGTTCCTTATTGTGTGTGTCCCTTTGAAAGCGATCACTCTTAAGCTGAAGTTAAAGCTCAGGTCTGATTACCCTCAAATGTTGAGTGATTCCTCTTAATGCTGACCACAACAGCTATATGCTTTTGTTTTCCCAACTGCAAAATAATAATGAGAATACTTTATTTATTTTTCTTACAGCTGTGAGGTTTAGTTAAGTCCTGTCAGGCACCTGGGACTCCTCAGATGAATGGTGTGACACCAAACCTATTGATTATTAACAACTAGTTAGTACTTTCTGGCTGCTAGCCACAGGTGGCCAGCAGTTTGAATACAGCCTATAGGGATGGCAGCACCCTCCTATCACTCCACACTAGCTGCCCAGTTACCACTATTATTTGGAGCTCATTCTGATTATTTCTTTTCAAGAGCAAGTAATGGTGTTTAATAGGCTCCCATGCCACTTGCTTGGAAATGTGTTGTAATTGCCTAAGTAGTAATTGGCAGAGTTCAGTAATGCTCAGCATGCTCAGTAACAGCAACCACAAGAGGCTCTTCTGAAGACAGGGTAAAACCCCAGGGCTGGTGCCACTTATCACACAACAGGATGAAGAAGGTTTGGCCTTGTGTCTAAGACACTGAGATGTGAATTCAGAGACCCTGGCTGTAGTTGATGAAAGTTACTTCATTTCTGTTTTACTGCAGTTCCACAGTGATGAGATTAACAGTAAATTCTGGGACAGTGAGACCATGTTCCTAACAGCACTTTGAACATTTCATAGATGAACTCTGTTAGGTAGCCAGAGGGCTCTTCTCTAGTCTCCAACCATGTGTACCACTTTGATTTGAATTCAATATTTATAGTAAAGGACCTGATGAACCTGTTCTGTTCCCTGTTTTAATAGGGAGCATGACTTTGGGATAAGTCTTTGGTTAACTGCAACACT